GAAAATGTGTCCGGAGCCTAATTTATTCCCATGCACACTAATAAACTTACACATTTACACCATTTTCCAGATGTTTAAATATTAGACAGCTCAAACTCGATTGTTTCCAAGTTTGTATTCTGTAAATGTACCAAACTGCCAAGGGTGGTGACACATCTTTCATGTGATGACACAACTGTCGGGCACAAAGACATCCCTGTTTGTTCCTACATCTAGGGTTCTATTCTTTATTTCCCCTGTCCTAAATCCCGGCGACTGTTTTTTTTTTAATAGTCCCCAGGGCACAATACAAAGAAAAAGTTAAGTCTAGCTGGTGACAGCTCTGGTACTCTGTGCAGACAATTGTGCACCCACGCTGAATTTTGAGTATAATTCAGACAGATTGCTGGCAAAAAAATATATTTTGCTCTGCCTTATGGATGACCAAACAAAGCACAGATTCACTATTTTAAAGACTACCACCAGTTCCTAAAGATACACAGAGTATTTTAATTTTTTACAGAAAATATAAGTAATTTTCACACAAAAAAATGTGTTTTCCTTTATGGTTTCAGCTCCCCTGTTTTTACTTTTCTAGCTTATTGCCGTTCACCACATGTCCGTTCAGTCTGCTATAATGTTTAATATAGTATTTTGCTCTAAACAGTAATTTGTTTTTATTCAGTTCACACCACTTGTGTATTGAAATGGACTACACGTGTAGTGGGAAGCTCCTAAATGTTAAAATCAGCTTTACTGGAAATGCCTGATGAGGGATGTAAAGGTCATGGATGTTTTTCACTTACTAATGTTATAGAACTGTGTGTGTGAGTTAGAATTGTTTTGTCTGAACAAAGTGGAGCCTGCACTAAGTCTGCGCTCCTGATAAACTTTAAGGCCCCTAGGCTGGAAAGCAGAATTGTCTTGGCCTCGCCTTTTCTGATAAGCTTATATGTTGATGCTCCTTTATGTTGTCAGTAGGCAGACCTTGGATTTGGACCTTGTTTTGTGCCAACAAACAAAAAATGGGAGGGAAAGACATAATTTTTACCATCAGTCTACACGGATTAGCCAAATTACCAAAAAAGTCTCGGACCAGCTAAAATTAAAAAAATATTTGTTAGTAATATAAGTTAAGATTCAGCTTAGCATTCTTTCCCTAAAGCAGTTTTTTAAATGAAATCACAACCAACTGTACCAAGATTATTATTGTTGGACTTGTTACTGCAACATGTAGTTGTATTTCAAAGTAAGTGTCAAGGTTTGGTGTTTTTATAAGGGTGTACCATTGGTATTGCCCTGAAGAAAGTATCAAACAAAATTTAATAAAGAAATATTCTCAACATTTTATAAATAAATGGTTTCTCTGAAGCGGGATGAACAATTTGTGACGGCATACAATGCTCAGGAGTTTGATTTAATTCAGTTCAATTCAGTTTATTTATATAGCGCCAATGCACAACAGTCGTCGTCTCAGGGCACTGAACAGAAACATTCACATACATAAAAAGTCAGTTAACGTTATTTATCTAATAAGTCATTTAATACTTAATTTTTTTAAATTAAAAATGATACACAATCTTTCTGTACCTAAAGATGTACCTTGTAGTAGAAAACCATGGTTCGGTTTAGTATAAAAATAAACCTTTAACGTTTATGACTTGGCCAGGGAACTACTGTTTCTTGTGTCAATCATCCTTCAAAATAAAATGTAAATGGTGATTGATATATAAGGTTTGACTTCACGGTGACTCAGTTTAGCTGCAGGACTCATACAGGCAATGTTTTATTAAGGCAAATTTGAATGTGGACATCATATCTTGCATTGAAAATGGCAAATGCACTTCGTCATGGCTGAATTCTTCAGTACCTCCAATCATCCTGGCAGGTTAGTCATTTAGCGCAGCAGGGCTAAAGAAAAACACTAGATTTCCTAGTGGGCAACTATACAAAGAGCTTGCAGTGTACTATATTAAATTTTGTTTAATTCCGGGAGGTTTCTCATATAATTATCAATGACTTGGCACAGTAGTGAATTGTCATAATACAGCTCCAATGTCGCCTCCAGTTGTAAAGCAGTGACATGGAGTATAAAGTCGTCCTAACGTGTGGCATTACCTTTGTGAACTTGCAGCCAATGGATTTAGCCCTCACAACAGTTCAAACCCAGATTAGGCCATACATCAGAGAAGGTTAGAGAGCGAATCGCTTTCAGTCTCCCACTAATCGCATTGAGCAAGTCTAGCTTTGTCGCGCCCACTGCCCTCTCTCTTTTTTCCCCACGACTCTATATCGCTGATCCCTCTGCACGGTCCAGAAGAGAGCTCTTTTTGTGCTGGTGCTGGCAGACAGACACAAGCAGGGAGACGGATACAGCTGAGAGTGACCTGATTCTGCTTTGTTTCTGGCCTCGGCCCAAAAACAATCTCTGCGCTCTTGTTCCTCTGTCTTTTAGTTGTAGTCTTCCATTTTTCACCATGTTTTACAATGTAGGACTCTGGACTTTGGCCAAAGGAAGTTTGACCAAAGGACTTTGACCAAAGGAAGTTGTAAGTATTGAGTGTATAGTCAAGCAGGTAACACATTTTAAGATACATAAAGGAAGCATTGTGGTGAATTTCAAACTTCCTAGGTCTTAATTGATGTTTTCCTTACATTGCCAACTTTAATTTTAGTTGACACTAAACAGAACATGGGAAATAAATTATAGGGTACAGAATGCTTAATGTCAGTGCATTGAAAATGACATTTTTGTGTTGGCAAACATAAATCAAAATTCACTGAAAGTTAATAAAAGTTGCTAAGAGTAAAATATAATAAAGATTCACCCTCTGAGGTTAAAATGCGTTAGTCACTTGCACTGCAAGACAGAAAGGACAAATGAAGGATGTGGCAGCAGCGCCTTACTGGCCGACAGTGTCGAGGTCTGCTTTTATATTATTTGACATTCTCACTTGAGATTTCTTTGGCATCTTGACTACAGATGTCATGTTTCAGATGGAGCGTAATGAAATATTTCCACTTCCTGAAAGACATGACATTTTATTTCATAGATATGAAGATAAAGATGGTGGTGATTGGCAACTAGTTACAATTATACATTTATTGTATAGTTAGAACAAAATAAACAAACATTTTTGCACGCAGAGAATATTTATTTTCACATACAAGCATATTAAATTTTGCTAACTTGTTTGTTGTGAATATAAATAATTCTGAGATAAATTATTTTATATTTATATTCCAACAAAGCATTTAATCAATTTAGCTCCAAAAACTGCAAAGTGCTTCATTTAGCTTCTGATGGATCGTGTTAACCTTTGAACCCAGGCAAGATGAGTAACCCTCCATAAATGATGGGGACATGAAGAGGGTGTTTTTGTTCCGTCACATAAACAAGGGTAAGATTGAACAGATAGGAACAGCAGTGCTGGTTGCTGTAGAAACATGAAGTGAGGGGAACAACACTGATTCTCATCTGTGAGCCATTCGTCTGGAAGTGGACTACCACAAGACTCTGAGGACAGAGAGCTCATTTGTGACAAGCTCATTCAGAAAAGGTCATCAGGGAAAAGCAAAAGAATTGGAGAAAAAGTTACCCACTTATTATATTTATTTTTCACAGATCTTACTCGACATACTCGTCTGATGTCTGCTTTTGTCTTTCCATTTTCATCTAGAGCCTTCAACTATATGACATGGTCCTGACCCACATATAGTTTGTCTCAATAAATCAGTTGTTCCACTCTATATGACCTCACGTTGTAGGCTCAAGCTAGTGTCCTAAACCAGCAATGTTCCATTTGTTTAATGAAAACAGACCCCATATTTCCTCTGTCTTGTTCTAAGGGCTCTGACGATGATGGGTCTTAGTAATAGGTTGTGTGGAGAAAGTGCCCTTGCACTTTATATCAAGAGCCCCCAAGAGTGCACTTCCAGGAAGAAAAATTAGAAATAAAATAAACACAATGGCACGGCCCCTAATAGCATCTTATCATTGATATTTCAAACCACAAGTCAAGTTTTGGGTTAAAATTGTTTTGAATTAAGGTTATTTTTCTGTATCTGTTTTTTATATACATGGCACATATTTTGCATTTTTAACTGTTCTTTTAGTCTCAGCTGACTGTTTTAACAGCACTTCCATTATTTTGAACAACATAAATGAATGTTTTAAACAAAAAATAGCACAGAAAAAAATTACAAAATGCTGATTTATTGCCTTTAAGATGTTGTATTCATACCCATCTGCTCACAACAAACTCATGTTCAGGCTGCTGTTTAATACACCATATTATACGAAATACATTATTATTTTTTAGCATATATCTCAGATACTTTATATTGTTTCTTTTTTATACTTTTTTTGCAATTTTGGGGTCTAACTGGGACATTGAGTACACAATTTCGTTCCACCTCATGTACCACATGTGATGCGAATAACAGTAATGTTCAAGTTCAAGTCAAGTTTATTGTCATTCACGTCACATGTGGTACATGAGGTGGAATGAGATTATGTACTCAGGGTCCCAGTTACACCCAAAACTAGCAAAAATATAAAGTATAAAAAGAAACAGTATATAAGGACCTAAGATATACGCTAAACGAACACCAAACGTACGTTAAAAGATCAAAGATCTACATTAAACAGTAGTAATGTAAAACAATACGTCGTAACAACAGCAGCCCGAACATGAGTCTGTGGTGAGCAGATGGGTATGAATACAGCAGCATAAAGGCAAGAGATCAGCAGCATGAGATAAAGAACCTTGAAACTTGAAATGAGGATGGCATGTAAGAATAACCAATAAAACTTACCTGAGAGTTGTACAATAATAAACATCTGATTGGCCTCACTCATGCAGTGTTATCACTTTGCAATGAGTATCTTGCAGTTTTAGCATTTCTATATTTTCTTTTGCATTGTTATGATGAGAATTTGTTCTTGAAAAGGAGCAAACACTTCGAGCCAAACTGAAATGTCCTTTGCCCTGATGTTCTCATTTTGTTTTCCATTTCAGCTCTTGACCATCGATGATGACTTTTGTGGCCTCGACATGAATGCACCGCTGGGCGTGTCTGAGATGGTGCGTGGCAAACCTCTCTTCTCTGATGCTGTTGACAAAATGACGTCCGTCATCGGGTATGTCTACAAGAACCATTCGCTGGTCTTTGTGGGCACAAAAAGTGGAAAACTCAAGAAGGTAAGAATGAGAAAGTAAAATACGTTTAAAAAATGGCTGAATTGTTGGAGCCAGAGATTTGTTTTCACTCTAGTAAGCGGAGTAAGGAATTGGGACTGCCTGATCGGAGGGGTGGATAGTAGTAGAAAGGCAGATTGACTTTCAGGCAAATCAGCTGAGTCTGCTGTATTTGTGGCACAATGGTGCGTAAGCATGCATGAAAGAGAGGAAAACTGAATGGTACAAGCGTGTGTCCTTTGGTAGAGTAGGAAACTGTGTTTTGAGGAAAGAGGATCAGGGAAGCCCCTAAGGGGGGGGTTTATTTCTACACCCAACCCTATCTGATATCTTTAAACATCCTCCTCATCCACTGCACCAAGCATCAGGCATACTCTTGAATACATCTAGTATCAGGAGTATCCGCTACAGTTTTCCTTCACTTTGGACTTGTATAAAACCCTGAGCCCCAGGGACAAATTGTAGCATACATCAGCATGTTGCAGAACTTGCTAGACAGCACAGATCAGCATGTTGCAGAATTGATTAAACAAAGTTTCTTATCCTTTTCTGGAGGCAAGTTGGGGAATCGGAATTAAAAAAAATACATAATTTATTAGGTCATTTATGGAACTGCCTAATAGTTTACTAAACTGCAAGAAGCAACACAAGTTATTTGCGTTAATGATTTCACAGTTTTTTACATTTGTGTAGTAACTTGGTTATATATCACTTTACGAAACAATACTATCAGCAAGTGTTCTGCAAAGCATTTTTGAATCTGTCTCTCTCTTGGAGCCCATGTCGCAATCTGTACAGAGACAGGGCTCTTGACTAAACAAGATTTGTCGTCTGAGTTGAGTAGTAGGGGATAAGCTGGGTTTTGAAGTCTTGTAGCTTTCACCTTAGACTCCATCCATGGCCCCGTGCCCTGGTGCGTATCAGCCCTTTTCATTGCTAACAGGATGATGCACTACTGCTAGATGTCATAGAGCTGGTTAACACCTGCATTTTTACCTTGCTTTCTCACACGTCTGAGCAAACCCGTGTCGTAGAGTTCACAGGTAAAACTATGTTGAGTTGAGCTGGAGAGGCAAAGGTTTGGACATGGATGGACTATAGACCCCCCCAAAAAAGTCTGTGTTGGAAGTAAGACAAATTACAATTGAAGGTAAAGGGAGGACCAGCAGAATCCAGAAGTTAGAACAAAGTTTTGAGGTCAAAGCAAGCAGCTCGTTACATACAGTACATATCGCATGTTTTCCTGTCTTTGTTTAATTTTATGAAGAAATTGAATCAATGAGGCTGCAATTTTCCCCAGTACTGAAATGTGTTTTCAAAAACTTAAGCTGGTCAAGTTAATGTGAAAATTGTTGTTTGAAAATTCATCCTGTCTTTTAGCATTTTTCTTTTGATAGTAAAACATTATTCTCTTGTAAATGTGATCAAAATTATTTTCAAGCACTTTCTAATTTACCAATCGTGTTTTGTTAAAAACTAACAATTAAAATAGCTGATGCACCAAAACATAACACGTTTACACATTTTTGTGCTCTGACACACACATTTGATTTGACTAAATTATAAATAATATGATTAAAAAAAAAAAACTTTTTTTTTTTTTTTTTTACAATTTAAAATGAATTATTTGCTGTGTTATGGATTTATTTGGCATCTGGGAAAGTTCTGCCATTATGGTTTTATTATAGTTCGCATCTACGGAAATCAGATTGTGCACATATGGTATATTTGGGCAAAGACTCCCTCTAAGACACTTACACAAAGATGATCAATAATGTGTCAACATAGGCGTGCACACATGCACACGCTGCACCATTACAATCCCATCCTTCCCTCCCATGTACACACTTCCCCTCCCCATCATTAACTGTATACCATTAGATGACATCATAGGCAATAAAAGACAACAACAAGACAATAAAAAGTCTGAGCTGAAGTCCACCCCCTTCATCAGTGACTTTATAACCCCTCAGCTAATGGATGTTGATTTATAAACACTCCTCCACCTTTCTTTGTGCATTCTTCAACTCCCTCCTCCTATTTCAGTCTTTCAGATCTTTTCCCGTACAATTCGTCTTTCAGTCTACTTTTCCAGTCTACTGTAATTTATGGTCGTGTGACTAACCCTGAATAAATATGAGCATTACAGTAAAAGAAAGCTGCTGGACTTTAATGGAGTCCTGTTCCAGTGAGCTAAGTGTTGGTGTTTACAGGTACATGTTTATGACATCATGAAGTTGAGCTGGACTGGAAGCAGACTGAATTAAAGCATATTTGATTGTAAAATTGTGTAATGTGATGGGGGTAAGCATACATTTCTGAAGTGCAATGTGACGCCTGAGAATCTGAGAGTAGATTTGGTTCTGCCATGACTTTGATAATTGCATCAAGAATTCAGAAGTCCTTTCCGCCAGTTTTAACTTGCACTATGCATAGTTGACCTTTAACCTTATCTCAACTGCACCAGGAACTAGAGCATGTTTGTAAATGTACCTGCCACTTGTGTGCATATACAGGGTGTGTTTTCAGTAAGTAGAAACTTGAGAAAGAAATTGATTAGTTTTCCCCTGAAAATAATGTTTTACAGTGGTGTCAAACTCACTTAGCAAAGGGGGCCAAAATTAAAACCTTTTTCAAACTAAGAGCCAATTTCAGAAACTACATTAACTCAAATCAGATACCCAGCATCTTTTCTCGGTCACAGGTTCCTCAACAAGAGTTTGATTGGTCTCATTTGATGTTCTCTGTTGTGCTTTCGACATCATAATCAAAGATTACTGGGGAAAAAAATCAAGAGATAGAAGTATTTTATGTTCACATATCATCTTGAGGGCCAAATAAGATGCCAACGAGGGCCACATTTGGTCCCCGGGCACATATGCTTTAGGAGTAGCACTGAAATTATCCTTGAAAACCCTTTCTGAAGAATGCTTTAACCAGAAAGACTATGCCATTTTCAAGTTTTTGTAATTTACTTTTAACTTTTTTCTGTAGTAAGTGCCTCACAAATTGCTTATTGTAAACTTATAGTTTACCAAACTTAAAATTTTCACAGATGCAATTGTAAAAGTTGCAACACTCTGATGAAAATATGTGACAGGGCACAATCCTCCAAAGTTGAATCTTGCTGAATGCTTTTGAGGTGTAAAGTTTGTTTTGCCTCAGTTTCAAACTTCTTAACACTTTCTGCTCAGCATAACACATGCAGTGCTTTTTAACTCATTAATTCTGTACAGCCAAGCATGGCTTCTATGGTTTCCTGCTAGGCCTAAAACTGTCTCATCACAAAGACGTTCAATATTTAGCATATCTACTGTTTCTTTTTATACTTTATATTCTTTTTTTTGTGTGTGGCTATTTTTAGGTGTAACTGAGCCCTTGAGTACACAATTTCGTTCCACCTCATGTACCACATGTGATGCAAAAAAACAATAACGAATTTGAACTTTGATATCAATTCTTTGCACTTCTGTGCCTTTTTCTTTCCACCTAGCATCTAGCTCTTTGGAATTATATCCTTTACTTAGTCCACACCAAAACACTTCTAATTTTTATTTTGTACTTGTGTTTTTTTTGTTTTTCCATCATGTTTCTTCCCCCTCATAATTTCCCTCCTCCTTTTTATGAATCTCCCTACTTGTTTCTGTCTGTCAATAGCTGAGTGGCGTTTTCGCGAGAGCTCTTTGATGGGTACCTCCTGCCACTGGAAGTGAATGGACCATATGGTTTCTGTCAGCCTGTCTGTCAGTCTGTTTGTGTGTTCACTGGCCTGTGATAAAGATGTAAGGAGATAAAGATGTGATGGAGATAAAAGGCTGTGGCTGGGCACAGTTTAAACCCATTTATTGTAGGTCAATACAAAGCAGCAGGTCAAGGGGAAAGAATTAACCCCTCTAGACTTTGGTTTTGTTTATGGTCAACTAGTCATTCAACATATAGACATGATAAATAAATTTTGATGTGGAGACAAATGCAAAACACAAGGTAAGCACAAGCATGCATCAATGAACACTTACACCTTTACAGCAGCTAATGTACACACGACTAGACCGAGGCCTGCCAGTAATCTACATGGAGTCATGGCTTGAGAGGTGGACTGGGGGACAGGAGGTAGGTGTGGAGGAAAGAAGTAGAGAGAAAAAGAGGGAAAATATGAGATTGAAAACTACCTGCTGAGGTGCAAATGCATCTTCCCTCTGTCAGTCCCAATGGGGGAGCATTGGCACTCAATACAATGAGCAGCTAACCTTGAACTTGACATCGACAGATGCACAGAAATGAGCAAGGACACGCAAAGGTAGAGGATGTAAAAGCTCAGTCTGCATCCTAGATATTAACAATTTAAGGAAAGCTCTGGCAAAAGTACATAAAGCAAATATGGAGTAAAAGCATATCTGAAAAGTGACAAGAAAAAAGTAGACCAATGGCAAAGAGCAGTGGATTGTGGTAATTTTTACACCTCTTAACCATTGCCACAGTTCTCAAGTTGTCACATAGAGAGAAGGAGAAAAAGAAGTAAATATACAAAGTGGAAAAAGTTGTAGAAGGACAAAAATATGAGGGAGCAAGAAAATAAAATGGATGGTAGGAAGACATGGGTTAAGTATTATAAAGAGTAGTTTGTAAAGCTGTGATCTCTTAAAAATTAATTGTTTGGAGACCTTCAAAGCTCTATCAGTTAAGATTGTTGGGACAAGTGGCGTAGAGGAGAAGTGGAGAAAGAAAACCATCTCATTCCCTCCAGTTATAGCCATAGCTTTTCCTTATACTCTCTGCATGACATCTCCTGTCTAATAAATGAACAAATCTTACTAGTTTCTCTGTCAGCACAGTAGATTATGCAAGGATAGATGTGTGCGGGTGTGAGACCTTTTACTTCAGAGACTGTACTAGACCGGTCCAATATGTTTTGTGGCCTGATTGTCCTTGCTTTTGGTGTGTGTGTTTGTGTGTATGCATGATGGGCTGGTTAGCCCCGCTCTCAGATTATTGAAATGGGCTGA